GGTTTCTCAGGGAAACAAGAGGAGGGGGCAAACATTTTTGAGAAGGGTTGAGTTGGGGGCCTTTTCTTCCCCCCTGAATAGAAGAAGGGTGAGGAAGATGGACGCAGACTGAGCCTTTATTCGGGCTGGCCTTTGGGTGAGGGGAAACACAGGGGGGGGGGGCACCTCAGTCACCCCCAGCCCCCAGCTGGGAGGGTCCCTTTTGGTGCCCATTTTGAGCAGCCCGCTCCCTTACAAAAGACCTCCACGGGGTTTCATGCAGGGGAGCAGCCCCCCTTCCATGGGGAGGGGGCCGGGCGCACCGCTAGAGAAGGCAGCCACCAAGCCCCCCTCCTCCCCCCCCCGAGCACCCCCGAATGGTGGAGGGGGGGGGGTAGGTCCAGCTTCCTGACCCTGAATCTCTCCGTCAGCTTGGGGATGGCTCACAAGGGGATTGAAGTGGGGAGGGGGCAGCGTGTTACAGGGGCTCCCAAATTCAGGTTCTGCTCCCAGTCTTCGGAAGGGCGCGTGCGAGCAATTTATTTATTTATGAAATGAAATTCATGTACTGCCCATGTCATTCTCCAAAGTGACTCTGGGCTGTGTATGAATTTGAGAAAGAGAGAGAAGAGATAGATAGATTGAGGGAGGGGAGGAGACAGAGAGAAACTGACTAGACACAGATAAAGAGACAGATGGACAAGACAGAGATACAGGACGGGTGGATGGGGAGAGAGAGAGAGAGAGAGAGAGAGAGAGAAAGAGAGATAAGATAGATAGATAGATAGATAGATAGATAGATAGATAGATAGATAGATAGATAGATAGATAGATAGACAGACAGACAGACAGACAGATGATAGATAGGTAAGTAGATAGATAGATAGATAGATAGATAGATAGATAGATAGATAGATAGATAGATAGACGGACGAGAGAGAAGCGAGATAGTTAGAGAGACAGACAAGAGAAAGAGAAAAATGAACAGGATAAACAGGGGGAGAGAGGAAGAGAGAACCAGACTAGACAGGAGAGAGAAAGAGAGAAAAGAGAGAAAGAGATGGGGGAGATAGAAAAAGAGAAGAGAGAAAGAAGAGATAGAAGAGAAAGGGAGAGGAGAGGACAGAGAGAAAGAGAGGGAGAAAGAGAAAAATAGAGAGGAGAGGGAGAGAAAAAGAGAGAGAGGGAGAGAGAAAGAGAAGAGAGGGGGGAAGAGAAAGAGATGGAAAAGAGAGACAGAGAGAACCAGGATAGACAGACAGAGGGAGAGAGACAGAGAGAAAGAGATTTGCGTGTGTCTTCTGAAGGCTGGCAATCTGGGAGCAGAACATGAACTTGGGAGCCCGGTCTCCCCAGTGCTCAACAGTGCCCATCATCCTGACCCATACAGGGGTGGACCCAAAGGCTGCATCGGCCTACAGCCGCCTTCCTGTGCTATCAACACACGGCCTGTGTGCGTTGAAGAGTTTTCTCTGCAGCCATGAAGCTACGCCACTGCTATTCAAAACCTCAGAAACATCATCACAAATCTATTTCTGATTCCCTACAGCAGTGGCCACTTTTAAGGCGCATGGACCTCAGCTTCCACAATTCTCCAGCCATTCTGGGAGATTTTTCCCTCGCCTTTGTAACACACCCAGGACTTTATTAAGGCTTAAAAAGAACAATTCACCCCATTATTACCCAACATATCCTCTCTAAAAAGTGATGGTAAAGGTTCCCCTTGCGCATACGTGACAGTTGTTTCCGGCTCTAGCGGGCAGTGCTCATCTCCGTTTCAAAGCCGAAGAGCCACGTCGCCGTGGTCATGTGGCCGGCATGGCTAAACGCTGAAGGTGCACGGAGCGTTGTTCCCTTCCCACCAAAATGGTCCCTATTTTCCTACTTGCATTTTTTTTAACGTGCTTTTGAACGGCTAGGTTGGCAGAAGCTGCTGGGACAACGAACGGGAGCTCCCTCCACGACGCGGCGCTAGGGGTCCAAACCACCGAACGGCCGACAAGCTCAGCATCTCTACACACCGCTAGAAGTTTTGAGCTCAAGACAAAACCAGCATTCTGGATCAGAACTCCACTCCCATCACCGATTTAAAACCAGCTTCAACTAAGTCTCAGGAATCCCAACCAGCAGCAAAACACGCACAATCACACTGATCGGTTGGGATAACTTAAAACAAGACATGTCCGTTAAGATGTTATCGTTCCAACCTGAATCCCAAAAATGAATTCTTCTCTCAAGAGAACAACAGGTTAAAAATAAAGTGGGAAAGGGGTGGATTCGATTTAAACCAAGTTGATTTAAACCACTAATAAAAAGGCTTGATTTAAATAAACTCAATTTAAATCATAATTTTTTTTAAAGAGCCGTTGTCATCTCTGTCCCACAGCAGCTCCTCCTCCTCTGACCCGCTGTTGACTCACCGGCAATCCCAATATTGCAGAATCTACAGCCGTGAAGGCAAATCTATGGCACATGTGCCACAAGTGGCATGCGAAGCCGTATGTGCAGGCACCCAGCCACACTTACCTGCACTGCGCATGCGCGCACCTCCCAATTGATTTTCGGCCCGTTTGAGGCCCTTTTCGCCTCTGAGGGAAGCCTCTGCAGCCTCGGGAGGCTGAAAAAGGGCCCGTTTAGGCACTTCCGGAAGGCCCATTTTTCGGCCTTCCAAGGCTGCAGAGGCTTCCCTCGAGCCTCCGGGAGGGCAAAAACGGGCTGAAAATCAGTTGGGAGGCGCGCGCATGCGTAGTGCAGGTAAGGGGACAGGGCGGGGACCGTTGCACGCGCATGCACAGGGGTGCATTGCATGGTGGGTGCTGGCAGGCATGCGCTTTTGGCAAACCACAACAAAAAGGCTCGCCATCACTGATCCACAGCTTCATGCTGCAAAACAAAGCTCCATTTCATGCTGAATAATCTAAATTAATGTACCTTAAATAGAAAACTACATTTAGAGCCTTACTCCAAAAGCGTTTTATTAAAATAAACTTGGCTAAAAAAAATAAATTAAAAATTCCGATTTAAATTTATAAAAAATCCGTTTTGTTTTTTAAATTGATTTTTATCCACCCTGAACAGGTGGATCACCCCCACCCCCACCCCCCCAGTTGAAGGTCCACCTTCCAGGCTAACCTTCCCCACACTCACCAACCCAAAGGGTGCTGAAGAACCGTCTCCTGCTCGCCCGCTCAGCCCCACCAACAGCTGCGCATAGCCGGGCCGCTGAAGACCTCAGCTGCTGGGCCAGATGCGCCCTCCTGTCCCGGTTAGCGTGGCAAGTCCTGGATCTCAGCATCTACAAGAGCTACCGTGTGGTCCAAGGTCCAGCAACGAGCTGCAGAAAGAACCAACATCAGGTATGAGACAACGCAAGTAGGGTTGGTTGTTGTTAGGATTCCTTATTTTAGCTATGGACCATACAAAGCAAGAATGGGGGTGTAGCACCCCAAAAGTATCTTAAACGGTTGGAGGAAGTAAAGGAGAAGGCAGCTTGAAGGACCTTTACACCCTACAAGGAAGGACAAAGAGACAGTTGACGAGTTTGCCTTCAGATGTTATGGCTGCTCCATCACTGGAGGTTTTTAACAAGAGACTGGACAGTCACTTGTCCGAAATGGTATAGGATACCCTGCTTCAGCAGGGGGTGGACTAGAAGACCTCCAATGTCCCTTCCAGCTCTATTCTGATTCGGCATATGTTGGCCAGTTGGTAAAGGTGCCCAGAATCAAAGTGGCACTTCAAGGGTGGCTCCAGCACTTCAGGATATCGAAAGCTCTACAGCAGGTAGAGCTCCAAACTTGGCAACTTGAAGCTATGCTGGCTGGAGAATTCTGGGAGTTGAAGTCCACAAGTCTTCAAGTTGCCAAGTTTGGATGCCTCTGCTCTACAGAATTGGGACACCGTGAGTCCAAGCAACAAAGGAGATACAAACGAAGGGGGAACAGGCCCAGAGGGATAAAGGGGGAGGATGTTGCATGTCCCTGTAAGAAAAGAATTAACATTACATCAAGGTTTAACGGGTTGAGAAGTCAAAAAGGAAGGCCTCACTAGCCCTTGGACTTATATCCCGCTTCACAATGCTTTCCAGCCCTCTCTAAGCAGTTTAGAGAGTCAGCCTCTTGCCCCCAACAATTTGAGTCAACCTTGAGCGGTCAGGATCGAACTGCTGGCAATGGGCAGAGTTTAACCTGCAATTCTGCATTCTAACCAGAGGGAGGGGAGGGAGAGGAGGGAGGGAGGGAGGACTATAGTAATTGCACTCAAGACTTATATACCGCTTCACAGTGCTTTGTAGCTCTCTCCAAGCGGTTTATAAAGTCAGCATAATTGCCCCCCTAACAATCTGGATCCTCGTTTTATCGATAAACAATAAAGCAGATCTTTTAATCTCGAGTTCAGGATTCAGACCAACGAGAGTTTTTGGATCCAGAGGACATTATGGAAATGATGCACAGCGTGGAACGTCTCAAGGTGCCAGCGTTCAATTCAGCCACGGGAAATTCCCTGGGAGAGAACGTCCAGGACGCACCACCGTTCATTTCAACAGTTGTGAAATGGACCGAAGTCGTTCTCCACTCCAGCTTGCAGTCACCAAGGCTGAGAAACACAGAGACGGGGCTTCCACCAAGGCACTTCACAACTTTTCAATGGAAGGCGTAGCTGGCTGGAGAATTCTGGGGGTTGAAGTCTTCAAGTTGCCAAGGTTGGAGACCCCTGGCCTAGACACCAACTTGGTGTGGGGAGGGGGCCATGGTCAGAACTGCCTCCAAGGTCAAGTCTAAAATCTCCACGTTGGCAATTTTAGTGGTTTTACGCTTCAATCAAAGTTTTCCCTCCACCTTGGTAGCCTGTGACAGGTTGTATGGAGACTACACCCTCCTGGATTTTTTCAATGGGCAACGCTTAACCTGACCGCAGCACTTGGGAAAAAGATCTTGAAACAAAGAGCTAACTACTAGTGGAAGGTAAACTGGTAACATACAGGCAAGCCTTCAAATTTCCACCATTTGTTTAGCAGTCGCTCAAAGTTACAACAGCACTTAAGAATGGTCCTCACGTTTATGACCATCACACTTTTCCCATGAATTTGGAAACTTGTCAACCGCCATGGTGGCGCAGTGGTCAGAGTGCAGTACTGCAGGTGATTTCTGCGGCCTCCCGTCTGCCTGCAATTTGGCAGTTCGAATCCCACCTGGCTCAAGGTTGACCCATCCTTCCAAGGTAGGTAAAATGAGGACCCAGAATTGTTGGGGGCAAGAGGCTGACTCTGTAAACCGCTTAGAGAAGGCTGGAAAGCACTGTGAAGCGGCATATAAGTCTAACCGCTATTGCTATAATTGCAACATCCCGGGATCATGGGAACACTATTTGCAACCTTCCCAGCCAGCTTCCAGTAAGCAGAGCCAACGGGAGAAAAGCAGACTCACTTAGTGATGTATTTAACTGTAGCGATTCACTTAACAACTATGGCATACACACAAAGTTTTGAAATTGCTCACAACTGTCCTAACTACCTTGCTTAGTAACAGAAATTCTGAATTGTGGTTGTAAGTTGAAGATGACGAA